TAACCTAGGATTTAGAATGAGGTTGCACAATGGTTATTTTAGTAGACAATGACTAGATTGATTTTACAATTTCAATTTTATTAAAATCTTATACTGTATTACGTTATGGACTCACTTGATTGTGACTTGTTAAATGTGAATTTATATCATCTAAGTTTTAATCTAAGGTGGATCACTGTGGCGGACATAGATGGGTTGCGGGTTGGGTTGTTGTAGTGCGGGTAGACTCCGGGGCCACCAGGCGTGGGGTCTCCCTCCGTTGATGTCTTCCTCACGTAGGTGGTCTGGGCTGTGAGGGTCGTCCAGGAGCTTGTCCCAAAACCTTCTTCCATAGGCGATGGAACCTGAAGTTGAGGGCCTCTGTTTTATTTCTTAGGTGGATAGTTTCCACTGTCTCCTGGTAGGGTGGCGCCTGGCCACTGGCTGACCTCAAACACTTGTTTTGGAAGCTCTGTAGTTGTTGTAGTCTAGTCTTCCCGAGTGTGACGCGTGGTATAGATGGGTACTCCAACACAGGCCTCAACAGCGCCTTGTATAGGTGAACTTGTATCTTCTCAGGCATTAGTTTAACACGTTTTAATTTGGCTGCGGCGACTTTGGCTTTATTTAGTCTGTCCTTCACGTGGGGAATGATGCCCGTCCGAGAAATGATGAGGCCGAGCAACCTGCCTTGTTTAGAGTACTCAATCTCTTCGTCGTCGATCATCAATGGGGCCGGCTTGAATTTGGCTATGGGTATGACCTCAAATTTCGTTTTGTTTGTTTTTATTTTCCATTTATTTTCATACTCCGAGATCTCCTCTATTGCCCGAGCAGTGAGTCGCGCCATCCTTGCTGTGGACCTTCCTGGGCAGGTGACGATCTGTGTTACATCGTCGGCATACATGACGTACTCGCTGCCGACGATTGGGGGTGGCAGGTCAGCCGTGTAGAGTGTGTAAAGGGTTGGTGAGAGACAAGAGCCCTGAGGCACGCCGCTCGATAGTGAGAATTCTTCTCCAAAATGTTCTTGCATCTTGATTTTGGCTCTGCGGTCCGTAATGAAGTTGCACAGCAGGCGAGTCAGATTTTCGGGTAGCCCCAGTTGTATGATCTTATACTGCAGTCCTGCGTGCCAAACTTTGTCAAACGCCTTGCTGACGTCCCTCAGTACTATATTGCACTGTAGGCGGCCAGTCATGGCATTGGCGATCTGCTCGTAGGCCTGAGCTATGGCGGTGGATGTGCCTCGGTACTGGCGGAAGCCGAACTGGCGGGGATTATGCACGTCTTCGTCCTCCAGATACATCCGCAATCGCTTGTTAACTATTTTTTCGAAGATTTTGGCAGGTACCTCTAGCAGCGATATTGGTCGAACAGGAGTAGGTGAGTGACCAGTGCAACATTCTTCTTCAGGATCTCTGCTTTCTCGAAATTCTTTGACCTGATGTCAAGACGATTCTTGAGAGTATACATGGCATTACGAAAGATGGTGTCAGAGAGTGCAACAGCCATCTTATCTAGCCTGATTTTCACGAAATCATCGTGAAGGGCCTGTCCCAACATATGAATCTGACTCAGTGATAATGCCACTTCGTGCCCCATGACATCACGAGTGTCATATATCAGGGAATATATTTAATATTTATCAAAATGTGCCCGATATCAAAGTGATTAAGACCAAAATTTACCTTTATCTTGACCTTGACACGTGACCTTGACTTTGAATCTTAAAAGTATAGTCATAATTGGAATCCTCGTCCTCATAAACCTCAAAAAAGAGGTGTTACTTGTGAAATTACTGCTCTTGACTCAAAAGTTATGGTAGGCCCCTTCATGTGGCGACCACATTGGATTTGCCCAAAAAGGCCGCCAGAGTAAGATTTCGGATTGGCTCCCGTGAAAAAATGAAAGGACTTGGTCACAGGATGCTCTGTACAAATTTTCAGAATTATAGTAAGGGGCTTGACGAAGGATGAATAACAATATCATCATATGGATAAACAGCAACATTTACTTCGTAACGTTTCGACAAATTTCTTGTCATCATCAGGGTGCCAATTTCATTGCAAAGAAAACGGCGCTGGCAGCTTTGTTGAGACGCAAGTGACGGAGTTGACAGCTGTTAATATTAAATTGTAGGAACCTTGGCGTGATGTTCTGTCCAGGTTGCTTTTCTCTGGCAGTTATTTTCTTGGATTCGATCTCTCGCTCTTTCTCTACCGATAGTGGTGCTCCAGGGGGTTTTGTTCTTTCACCTACTCTCATCTTTCTTTTCATTAATTAACTTCCCACTACTTCATTTCTATTCATTCCTATGCTGATGATTCTAATCTTCACTCTTGTCATTTTATCTTCCCCTAACTCTCAAACTAGATCGGTTTCTTGAACTGATGTCGTTTCTTCTATCAATGCGGATTTGTGCATCATCTCCGAAAGGTGAGGTAGAAATCTGGTAAAATTCAATAGTAAGAAAGCACAATATTTACCAATTACACTTCCAAAATTGAAGATCTCCCACCAATCACATTTCAGGACGCAACTTTTTGCCAAATTCTAAAATAGATATGCTAGGCTTTATTATTTCCTCAAATATGTCTTGAAAGCCACACATCTACAACATATCTAAAGCTGCCTCCCGAAAGCTGGGGATGTTGGTCAGATGCCGTAACTACTTCACTCCTGAGTAGTTGCTTCAAGTTTATAAGGGATTCGTTCGTTTTAACCTGGACTACTGCTATTATATATATGTAGTGGTTCTTCTTCTGTCCTATTGATAGATAGGGTGGAAACAAAGGCATTTCGTCTCATTAGCAACTATCCACCATTAGTCAATAAAGTAATCTCTCTCAATTTCTCTTTGCCGCAATGTTGCTTCGCTCTTTCTCTTTTACAGGTACTTTAACGAGCAATGCTCGGTGAAATTGGCATCCTATGTACCACCTTTCTGTGTGAATGTCGGTCACACTAGAATAACCCGTTGTAGTACTTCCCTCTTTCCTCACAGGGCTAATCTGTGGAATGCTCTGCCTTATTATGTTTCCATTCTCTTACAATCTGTCTCGCCTCAAAAAGCTGGTTTTTCGGCATCTTCCTGGTGTAAATTAACATAATCTTTTTTTCCTCAAATATATATATATATATATATATATATATATATATATATATATATATATATATATATATATATATATATATATATATATATATATATATATATATATATATATATATATATATATATATTGTTTGAATCTGAGTACCTTGTTCGTTTATTCAAGACATCTTCAGTTGCTTCTGAAGATGTTGAATAAAGACGGTGTTATGTACCCGTTGTTTCCATTTTCCGTGATTTTATCACATTTATTCTTATCCACGTTTTCATTGTGATATATATATATATATATATATATATATATATATATATATATATATATATATATATATATATATATATATATATATATTTGTTTTAGCCCCCAGACCCCGTTGTGGGTTGATGACTTGTGCCCACTAAAACATGAAAATATTATATTAAATGAATGTGTTAGATGTACGACTTTCTTGGCTTGAGGATATAAAAAAAAATTAAAACTGCATTTTTTAAATAAAATGATGGAAAAATATTACATATTGCAATAAAGTTTTGTCATTTAAACATATTGCACTTGTTGATTCTTTATTTGTGAACCCTAAATAATCTCCCTACACTAAAAGCTATAACAGTGGGAACCTAATGTTTTGCCTAAATGTAGGCTAATGTTTCAGAAAGACGTACTGTATAAAAGGTAACATTAAGACTAAGGGTCATGGTGAAATGTCAACTTTCCATCCGGCAAACTGGAGAGACCATTCATGCTGCCTGACTGCATTCCTGAGCGATGTTCTCATAATCTCTATATTATTTGTGTATTTCCTATATTCTGTTTGAAGAATATCTAAATTATTGTAAATTCATGAGTTAGATAAAAGCATATTGAAGAGTATTGTATACAAAAAATCTAGATAATGATATACCGTATTTCATACAATTCAAAGAGTTTAAGTGGAATGATTACTTTTTACGCTGGCAACAACTTCGCCCAAAATTGCATATTGCGTTCGTATCCTTTTGTCCCTATATTACCCTATAACAATAACATTAATTAATTCCCATTTTACCAGCCAGTCATTTTCCTCCTGAAAGCAGACGGTCCTGGTAAAACGGTATTACGTAAATAGTATATTTTACTTTTTTTTTGGGGGAATAGCCCACCCGGACACAGGTTTCTGACCAACATCGGGGCCTGGGGGGAAATTTTAATAATAATAATAATAATTCAGAGTACTATAAATAAAATTTATAATAAAAAATATAAATAAAATAACAAAATAATGATAGTAATAGTAATAATATTAATAATAATAATAATAATTATAATAATAATAATAATAATAGTAATAATAATAATAATAATAATAATAATAATAAAGAAATACATATATGAACAAATTATCAA